CAGAGTAAGACAGAGACACATTCAGACTCTGTCTCCTCGACAGACCTGCTCTCCACCTGAGGACGGCTGCTTGCGTTGTGGCCGAAACGTCGTGAGAATTATTTTATTATGTTTTATTTTTTATATTTTATTATTTCCATTCTACGTGACTTTACCGAAAGAACCAAGAAGATAGCTCACACCACCACACAGGTCTCTGGAAGAATAGTAGCCGAGTTGTGGTTACTAACATTGCGATTAATGGCAACGCCTCCTCGTTGCTCCACGGGCGACGTGAACCCCACGAGGTGTCGCGTCCACGACCCTCGAACGACGTCGACTCCGGCACGCAAGCGATTCGGAGCGCGCTCGCGCGTGAGCGTCGAGCGACGCTCGTCGACGAATTTCTGCATCATTGCACCCCCCCCCCCTCCCGCTTGCTGGCTACAGCACTGCGAGAAATGTTCAACTCTGCCCAGAAATGTGCAATGCCCCCCCCCCCCCGCCTTGGAGCCGCACACACGAGTGCTGAGCAGTGCCGCCCCCAAACACTCACGGAGATGCGTTTAGCTGTGGAAAAACAATCTAAATCGGGTAACTACCTCCCAGGTTGTCATAATCGAGTCTGGTACAGTCACTGACAGCACCGCCAATTCCCCGTACACTCGAGAACACGGTTTAATCGCGAGTGGCTAAAACCCGGGTGTGCTGACTTGGTCGTTCCAACGTGGCTATTGTGAGAATCTTGAGCTTTTTTTAAATCCTTTATATTAAGTTCGCTTGCTTGCTTGCTTATGACCGTGCAAATCTTTCGGTCGTTTTTTAACCCACTTCCCGTGATCCAATCGAGCTGACATTTTGCACACAGACTCGTTGTGCGTGACAATTAATGTTCGTGAAAATTTTTTTCCAAAACGTTACACTTTTTAGGACAAAAATATTATATTTAATTACCAATTGCTTAATGGTGCAATGCAATCATCTGACTCATAGGTGGCAGCCATCTCAAGCCAGAGGACGAGAGGACTCTAGCCGCCACGCATATAAAGGATTTATAGTGAAAAACTTTGTTTTTACGGGTTAATTTTTTATACTTTGAAAGAATTTTTTTTTGCGATGTGAAACGCACTGTTGTGTTTTGTTGTTGTATTCTTTCCACATCTTTTAACTCATCTCCTCTTGGGCGCAACATATAATTGGCACAGAGAGAGGGGGAAGAACTGATCTCAGCAGGGTGATGCTTAATCACGTCTTAATTGGAGGCAGTGATGTTGGCGCGGCGATTAGTGCCCTAAGCAGCTAATAAACCCATCGACCTTGAGTCCCACTGCCAGATCACGGCTTACATCAGTAGCGTTTCTGCCCCCCCCCCCCCAGCCTTCACAAATTTACAACGACCACACAACACCCATTGACTGGCATGGCGGGGGGAGACTTTCATCCAGCAGTGGATTGACAAAGGGCTGTTCCGATCCTGAATTATAGATGTTTACTTGCCCAGAAACAACACACACGTTCTGTAATGAGATACTAATGTTCGGAGATTGTAAATGCATCGGAAGTGGTAATGGCCTCTGCTGCGAAAATCTTGAATGGACCTCTCTTCGGTGCCTGGTCGATTAGTCATGCGGCTCATGAAATTTCTGTAAAATTGACTTTGAATGTTTTAACCGGGGTGGCTCGGTGGACAGAGAGCTCAGACGCTGGGCTCAAATCCAGGTTTCAGCCTGCACCCGTGATGAAAGTGGGTTCCCAAGTGTAGTGAGTTGATACACTAAGGCCAGACGCTATTGACTGCACACACGAAAACCCCCGTGGAAAAAAGAAATCTGGTTCCGCGCATAATTTGCCTGCATCCGCGGTCTGAGAATCAAAGCAATATATTGGTCTGTCATGCATAGAACGTTACTCTCAAATGCAGAGTGGGTGGTAAAGTGTTGCCCTTGACCGTGTGAACCACAACTCGTTGCAAGGGATATCGGATGCAGCTCTGTGATACTTTCGCACGAAGGGTTGCGCTGATCTGCAGGAGAGCGGAATGGATTACTCGTCTCGCGACGAAAACACGGCGCAGGATATCGACATAAAATGCGGCAGAAAATGTGGCAGAAAAATTGTGCGAAAATATGGGCAGTAAAAAGAGACGGGATAATTACGCAGAATTTCTATCGGATGCATCCCTCCTTGATTTTCTTGATCGCGAAAACCTAACACCAGAGGTCGCAACCGGGTACCCGATACCCGTACCCTACCCGATACCCGGCTACCCGTACCCAGCCGGGTACGGGTACGGGTAGCCGTTTGCGACCCTGGTGCGGCCGGGTACAGGTACGGGTAAGGAATCAAAACCCGTTTGCGACCTCTGCCTAACACCCCACCCCCCTTTGGCTTCTGGAGGAAAGTTGTTTTAATATATTAATATATTATATATAAGGTGAAAGCAACACAGCTGTCCTGCTCGTTTCTATTAAAGGCAAACGTGTCTCATCTCCTTCTTCTTCACCGCGCTGTCAGCGAGCGTTAAGCCGAGCTCGTTTCTGCCAAGAGCTTCTCAAGCCAGTGGCGGAAATTCAGAGTCCCGTGTGGCGAGGCCCCCCGCTTCTCGTCAAGTTGAGATGCCAACCGCTGGCGCTGCCACGATGGAGGGGGGGGGGGCAGCCTCGTCAAGCGACGGTCACTGTAAGGGTCAACTAGGTCCGTCGTTAAAAATGACGACGATGATGACAATGACGTCATCGTCATCATCGTTAAAGATGACGACGATGAAGACGATGATGACGATGACGACGATAAGACCACCAGTCAATAGGGGGGCCACCAGAGTCCACGACCGGGCCGCGCGAGACCATCAAAGGTGGAGGGGGAGGGGGTCACATAGGTTCACAGCTTCGAACGCGGAAGCAGCCCTGGTTAATACTGCGGATGCACAAACCAAATGATACGCGCCTGCAAATTACTTCGTTTCATTAGACCACGCGCTAGCAACATCACCCACAGGTTGCAGACTCTACTATACCCTTAATTCTACATTTGAAGCTTTCGTGACTGCAAGGATTCATATTCTTAGGTTTTTTTCCGGTAAAGTCACGTAGATAAAAAATTAATAGCCTTGTGCGATATGAATTATGCAAATACCAAATGTGACTAATTCATTATTAGAGGGTGTCCCCCCCCCCCCCCCCCCTCAAATATCACGAGAGAACCAGCAGAAGCCATCGAGGACCACAAAGATCACAAGCGACCATCGGCGGTCATCATCATCGTCATCCAGTGCCGGATTAAGCTAGTGCGGGGCCTGTAGCATGATGTCATAAAGGGGCCCTAAAAAAATGCATAAACATTAAAACGCACATTTTTTACTTGCACAGTAAAGTAATTGAATTTTTTCATTTTCGCTACAGCCAGATACTACGACAAATCGCTAACCTTAAACACCCGGTCGTTCGTAAAAGTTGAAGGCGGTATAGTACTATAGCAATAGAGCCAGTGCAGAATCACTGAACCGGAATTGAAAGCTTGAAAGCATTTAGCGCGGGCCCCTTGAGAGCGCGGCGCCCGTAGCATTTGCAGCTACTTTTGCTATTAGCATAATCCGGCACTATCGTCATCATCGATTACCAAAACATCATCAGCGACCACCAGAAGCCATCGAGGACAACTCCATCACCGGAGACACGGTCTTTTTTTGTGTGTGTTTCGTTTGTTGTTCACAACCCCCGCATCTCCGTTTAGCACGGTTGGCTCCGTACGGCTCGAAAAATAAGTTCAACACAACAACAGCAACAACCGCCATTCGCCTCTAAGTGGTGGTGACGTCACCACGGCGCTTGTGCCAGGCTAGGTGCACCTTTAAGGCCACGTGAAGTGTCGATCACCCGCTGGCAGGAGGTCACGGGACAGACCCAGCAGGTACCATGGGTCGACTGACTGAGATGACTGGCCGATGCACCACCTGTGCTCCCTACTGTGCTAGGCTAGGTACAGGAGGAGGTCACGGGACAGACCCAGCAGGTGCCATGGCTTGACCGCCTGAGATGACCGGCCGATGCACCGCCAACTTGCTGCGTTTTAGCCGCCCGGCGCTCCGCTCATTGTTGTGAGTGTCACTCCTCTCTGCCCCTCCGTCGTTGCTGGAGGGCGACTGCCTCCCAACTGCCCAGCAATCAGCGGCAGCAGCGTCCTTCACGAGCCTCCTCCACTCATCCGAGGCCATCCTCAAACACAAAGTCGACGCCTGCCCCGGCCTCAACTCTGACCGCGTGGGTCGCGTGCGTCGCGGTGCGTCGCGGTGCGTCGCGGTGCGTCGCGGTGCGTCGCGGTGCGTCGCGCCCGCAGCAGCACGGCGCACAGCAGCAGCAGCAGCACGGCCACCACGACGTTCGCGACGATGGCGACCAAGGCCCCAGCGCTCAGGCCGGCCATCCCGAGACGCCGGGGTGGTAGGGGTCGGGGTGGAGGGGCCGGGGTGGAGGGGTCGGGGTGGAGCGGTCGGGGTGGAGGAGTCGAGGTGGAGGTTTCAGGGTGGAGGTGTCGAGGTGGAGCGGTTGGGGTGGAGGTGTCGGGGTGGAGGTTTCAGGGTGGAGCGGTCGGGGTGGAGCGGTTGGGGTGGAGGTGTCGGGGTGGAGGTTTCAGGGTGGAGCGGTCGGGGTGGAGCGGTCGGGATGGAACGGTCGGGGTGGAGGAGTCGAGGTGGAGGGGTTCGGGATGGAGGGGTCGGGGTGGAGGGGTCGGGGTGGAGCGGTCGGGGTGGTGGAGCGGTCGGGGTGGAGCGGTCGGGGTGGAGGTGTGGGGTGGAGCGGTCGGGGTGGAGGAGTCGGGGTGGAGGGGTCGGGTGGAGCGGTCGGGGTGGAGGTGTGGGGTGGAGCGGTCGGGGTGGAGCGATCGGGGTGCTGGAGTCGGGGTGGAGCGGTTGGGGTGGAGCGGTCGGGGTGGAGGTTTTGTGGTGGTCCTCCCCCCTGGGTGTGCACGGCCCCAGAAACTCAAGGGTCCCCCCCCCTTGTGTCGGTGTCGCGCTGCTCCAGGGGCACGTCCCCTCGTCTCCGCTGTGCTCGTGCTTCTCTGGCGTCTGCCCGGAGATGCCTCCTCTCTTTGCGCTTGATCGGCCACCTTGAGAGGGGCCGGCCTCAAGCGGCGCCTACTTGGCGTCTGGCTTCGTCTTGAAGGGCGTCTTCAAGTGACTCTTGAAGGGCGTCCTCCGTGCGTAGTCGCCAGGCCTCGCCGCGTCTCCACTCGTCCAGCAGATTTTGCGTCTCCAGTTTGGATGGATCCGGAAAGGGCCTCCTCGTTCGTGGCCTCGTCTCCAAAGGGCCTCGTGGTTCGCCTTGTCTTGAAGGTCGTCCTCCGTCTTCAGGGCCCGGTCTTAGTCGCACCTTCTTGTACACGTAGGACCTCTCAGCGCAGAGAGATGCTGCTGCTCCTGCTGCTGCTGCTCCTGCTGCTGCTGATCCTGCTGCTGCTGCTGCTCCTGCTGCTGCTGATCCTGCTGCTGCTGCTGCTCCTGCTGCTGCTGCTCCTGCTGCTGCTGCTCCTGCTGCTGCTGCTGCTCCTGCTTCTCCTGCTGCTGCTGCTGCTCCTGCTGCTGCTGCTCCTGCTGCTCCTGCTGCTGCTCCTGCTGCTCCTGCTGCTGCTGCTCGTGCTGCTGCTCCTGCTGCTGCTGCTGCTCCTGCTGCTGCTGCTCCTGCTGCTCCTGCTGCTGCTCCTGCTGCTGCTGCTCCTGCTGCTGCTGCTCGTGCTGCTGCTGCTGCTCCTGCTGCTGCTCCTGCTGCTGCTCCTGCTGCTGCTGCTCCTGCTCCTGCTGCTGCTCTTGCTGCTGCTGCTTCTGCTGCTGCTGCTGCTCCTGCTGCTGCTGCTCCTGCTGCTGCCGCTGCTGCTGCTCCTGCTGCTGCTGCTCCTGCTGCTGCTCCTGCTGCTGCTGCTGCTCCTGCTTCTCCTGCTGCTGCTGCTGCTCCTGCTGCTGCTGCTCCTGCTGCTCCTGCTGCTGCTCCTGCTGCTCCTGCTGCTGCTGCTCGTGCTGCTGCTCCTGCTGCTGCTGCTGCTCCTGCTGCTGCTGCTGCTCCTGCTGCTGCTGCTCCTGCTGCTCCTGCTGCTGCTCCTGCTGCTGCTGCTCCTGCTGCTGCTGCTCGTGCTGCTGCTGCTGCTCCTGCTGCTGCTCCTGCTGCTGCTCCTGCTGCTGCTCCTGCTCCTGCTGCTGCTCTTGCTGCTGCTGCTTCTGCTGCTGCTGCTGCTCCTGCTGCTGCTGCTCCTGCTGCTGCCGCTGCTGCTGCTCCTGCTGCTGCTGCTCCTGCTGCTGCTGCTCCTGCTGCTGCTCCTGCTGCTGCTCCTGCTGCTGCTCCTGCTGCACATCATCACACGGACCCCAACAAGACCACGCGCTACACCACCGCCGTTGTTTTTGTTTCGTTGTATACGCTGTCCTCAATTCGTCTGCTGCCTTGTCGGCACTTTAAGATGTTTTCTTGTTCATGTGTTTTGTTTGTTGCGGTTGCACCCGATTCAAGAGCCGAATGTCTCGCAGGGCTATACCAAATAAATTAGCTGAAAATAAATTAACTGAACTGAACAGCCTCGATCCTCATTCCCCGACGTTTATTCTCTGCCGGTAGTGGTTGCTGCGGCTGCTGTTGCTGCTGCCACCACTCAGTAATAACGCTGCGTTGACAGCCCCAAACAACAACAACAAAAGCGGCGCTCTCTGTGTTTTAAGTTTTCTCTGCAGCCAACACACTCCACTTCACCATCGATACATGCCCTCCAAAGGTCTGATCCGGATTGGTGTCCCCGCCTCACCCCACTCGGCTTAGCCCTGCGCGAAACCAGGAGCTCGCTCGTCTCTCCGTGTCACTCTGCGTCTCCACAGCTGTGCCTGTCTCTCCCTCTCTCTCTGTGTGTCAATCTCCGTGTCTCTCTGTGAGTCTCTTGAGACTCAGTGTTTGTCTCTGTATCTATCTGTGTCCGTCCGTGTCTCTGTATCTTCGTCTCTGGGCAAATCTGTCTCTCTGTCTCTCTTCTACGTCTCCCGTCTCTCCGCGCGTCTTTGTTTCTTCAGCCGTGTTTAAAAATTACCCCCCACCCCATAACGTCTGTGTGTCCCTCTGTGTCTCAGCACTCACTTTTGTCTCCCCGCGTCTCTCCTTGTCTGATCCCGGTCTCTCTTCTGGGTGTGCGTCTCCCTGGCGCGCGCGTGCGTGTGCGCGCCTCCCAGCACCCACGCTGCCACTGAGCCTCTGTGTGTCTCTCGTCCGCTCGGCAGGATACTCTTCAGAGAGAGAGAGGGAGGGCGAGCGTGCCCAGCAGCTGCCGTCAGGGATGGGAGAGAGAGTTGTCAGTGGAGGCATGGGAGGGGGCACGGGGGGTGGGGGTAGTGATGGGAATAAGAGGTGATGGGGGTGGGATGATATGAGGATGGGGAGGTGATGGGGGTGGAATGATGTGAGGATGGGAGGTGATGGGGTGGAATGATATGAGGATGGGGAGGTGATGGGGGTGGGATGATGTGAGGATGGGAGGTGATGGGGGTGGGATGATGTGAGGATGGGGAGGTGATGGGGTGGAATGATATGAGGATGGGAGGTGATGGGGGTGGAATGATGTGAGGATGGGAAGTGATGGGGGTGGGATGATGTGAGGATGGGGAGGTGATGGGGTGGAATGATATGAGGATGGGAGGTGATGGGGGTGGAATGATGTGAGGATGGGAGGTGATGGGGGTGGAATGATGTGAGGATGGGAAGTGATGGGGGTGGGATGATGTGAGGATGGGGAGGTGATGGGGTGGAATGATATGAGGATGGGAGGTGATGGGGGTGGAATGATGTGAGGATGGGAGGTGATGGGGGTGGAATGATGTGAGGATGGGAAGTGATGGGGGTGGGATGATGTGAGGATGGGAGGTGATGGGGGTGATGGGGTGGAATGATGTGAGGATGGGAGGTGATGGGGTGGAATGATGTGAGGATGGGAAGTGATGGGGGTGGGATGATGTGAGGATGGGAGGTGATGGGGGGTGGGATGATGTGAGGATGGGAGGTGATGGGGGTGGGATGATGTGACGATGGGAGGTGATGAGGGTGGGATGTTAGGGAGCACCTATGAAGGCCAGAACGGTACACAAGGGAGGTGGGTGGCCAACACCACGCCCGACCGCCTTTGTCTTCCAAGTGGCGATGTTTCCACACCACACCAGGTACACATGTGAGGCTGAGTCAACCTAGGGGAGGCTCAGAACCGGTTCAGATAATCGTCACCGGTGCTGGCCGTGAGCGGGAATCGAACCCGGGTCGCCGGGTTCATAGCACAGCGTAGCGCTAACCACTACACCACCGCTCCCCGGCGCCGGTAAGCGCACACACACACGTGACCTACACACACGTGGCCTACTTGTTCTCAAAATAACGCCACGGGCTCTTTGACTGTAACGTCCACTCTGAAGCAGATGGGTGCACAGCAGTAGCACTGTCGGTGAACACACCCGCAGCATTAACCGGGGGCGGACGCTGGGTTCTTTCGAACCGCGAGACCTCTACAACGAGCAGAACGTCGACGCGACACTGCTCGGTCATTGCCTCCCGCTGGGATTTTTGGCCAATTCCACGAGTGCGATTTTTTTGGCTTCGTGTGGCAGAAGACCATCACTCGCGAAGAGGGAGGCGAGGGGGGGGGGGTTACTACCAAATAGACTCCGCACAGATGGATTCAATAACCCTCGCAGCCAAAGCTCCGTAACACCTGGGAATTCGCCGCGGTCGATCTCCAACCCACGTGGGGATGAACCGTGCGCTCCGTTCACGGCTACTCGGTCACTGTTGATGAGATGATGAGCTCGATGACTTCACTTCGGTCAGGTTGGGGTTCCCCGCTCCGCATTGGCGACTGGGCAAATTCGTCAGCTGCCGGCGCAACGCATCCGTCCGTAAGGGGTCGTCTCATTGAGTAGGTGCGCAAAAATTCGTCAAAACCTAAACCCTCCTTGTACGCACGCGGACTTTTTACACCCCCACCACCTGCGTACCTACGCCTAACGCACCCCCCCCCCCTGAATCCTATAGAACGGCCGATATTTAACCCACAGACACGATCAAGGATGAATAATATTCACGTGTTTAAGCAAACAGATACTCCCCCGCCGGACTATCTAACTCATTTCAAGTTCATTTATTAGGTATAGCCCTGTGAGCCATTCGGCTTTTGAATCGGGTGCAAAAAACAAAAAACATGAACAAGAATACATCTTAAAGTAAATATGTGACTAAGTGCAAACAGAAAATCCAAGAAAAGACAGCAAAATATTGCAGAAAAAGCACCGCACACCAATGCTGTGTGCAAAAATCCCAGTGGGATGCAAGTCAAACAACAACAACAATTTGAAGGCCAATGTCGACAAATTATTATCGAGGCTTCACCCCCCCACCCCCCCGTTTCCTATGCGTACATTGTCAGTAGACCCCCCCATACGCAAGCGAACGCATTTGGGTCAACCTCCTCACCCCCCTCCATGCATACGTACTGAATGGATGGCCCCCAATAATTTCTCGTGAAGTGCCACCCGCTTCTCCGGGTCTGCCAGCGATGCCAGACAACGTTGCGTGAAACATTTCAGCTCTGGGTGACACGGATGAACGTGACGGTGCGGTGGGCAATCATTGGATCGGGGTGATGCACTTGCAATGGAAACTTAATGGGCCGTGGATGACGTAATGGGAGTACGATATTTCAAATTAAAATATAAATATACCCAATACGTCATTTAAATTGTCCCGAGTATTGCGGGCTCGCCCTGTCTCTCTCCTCCCGTGATCGTAACGAGGGGACAGGCCGGTTAACGAAGACAACAACAACAATAATCTAGATTAGAAGTTTTCGTGACTGCAAGGATCCATACTCTTTGGTTCTTTCGGTAAAGTCACGTAGGTAGAAAATATAAAATAAATTAAATCACGACGTTTTGGGCGCAACACATCAGGTGCTTGTAACAAGGGGTTATAAAACACATTCCTACGGAGGGAGCTGGTAGGAAGGTTGGGTTGCTCGGTCAATGGCCTGCAGGGTCAACGGCGGCGTGGTATATTCCGCAAATATGCCCGACTGTGAGGGCGGGCACAAGCCGGCGTGAGTAGGTTAAACGTTGAGTTTTATAAGGGCACCACGGGGTGACCAGCCCCTCCCCACCCTTCCCTCCCCACTGTGTGTGTACTGTGTGTGTACTGTGTGTGTGTACTGTGTGTGTACTGTGTTTGTACTGTGTGTTATGTGTGTGTACTGTGTATGTGTGTGTGTACTGTGTGTGTGTACTGTGTTTGTGTGTACTGTGTGTGCTGTGTGTGTACTGTGTGTGTACTGTGTGTGTGTACTGTGTGTGTATTGTGTGTGTGTACTGTGTGTGTGTACTGTGTGTGTACTGTGTGTGTGTACTGTGTGTGTATTGTGTGTGTGTACTGTGTGTGTACTGTGTGTGTACTGTGTGTGTGTACTGTGTGTGTGTACTGTGTATGTAACGTGTGCGCTACTCAGCAGGCAGCTGTCTCCTCGTGCGGTTTCGCCTTCAGGCTGCGCCTCGCACCTTTTTTTCAGCGCTTTTATTGAACTTGATTCCTCTGTTTGTCTGTTCGTGGTCAAATCTTGTGATCAAAATTTCGTCCACTTCCCGTTGTCCAATCGATCCCAATTTTTTTGTAACTCATCTGCTACGACTGCTACCGCTCGAATCGAGGGAAACCTCCACTGCATTGCTTTTTTTTATTATTCCATTATTTTGGCGATGCTGCTGCTGCTACGTTGGTGGTGGTGGTGGTGCAGGTTTGATTAAGAGTAATCTCCGCACATCCGTCAATAACGCCGCAGCCTTGAAGATACTCAACTCGACACGGCTGTCAACCCATCACGGTCCACCCCGTATTCTTGGACAGGGAAATTGAGTTTTCAGGTCCAAACGGCGTACAGCCGTTTCAATATGGGCAACAACAAAAAAAATCATACGGCAAATAAAAAAAAGTAGTTTAACCCTTCATAATGTTTATTGTTGTACATTTACAACACGAGTATGTGCATCCACATACCAAGCAAGCAGAAGCATCAGCATGCACGATCACAGACAGTATAGCATGATTGACACAAATTATAATTGGTATAATTGATCATTATCAGAATTTCTAGATTTGAAGCTTTCGTGACTGCAAGGATTCATATGCTTAGGTTTTTTCGGTAAAGTCACGTAGGTAAAAAAATCCAAATTATTAAAGTAAAATAAAAATAAAATAAAAATCACGACGTTTCGGAGGCAACACAAGCTTCCGTCTTCAGGTGGAACCGTCACAGCACGATAGCTGTAATCAAGTAAATGAGAGATTCCAAGGGATACTACCTAAGAATATGAATATTATCAGAATTAATACATAAACCATGTTTTGTTTAGTAACATAATTTTCGTCTATTTGTTTGTGTTTCTCCCTAGTGATGGGACTTTGTATGGTGAACGTTGAGATGGAAAGCACACGGGGAGAACAATACGGGCTGAATTGGTGTGTAATAAGATAGAGGTCACTGATAAGGGCTTGACACGTGTGAGTATACAGGGTTTCATCTTCTTGGTTCTTTCGGTAAAGTCACGTAGAATTTTTTTATTATTATTATTGTATTATTTCCCTTCTACGTGACTTTACCGAAAGAACCAATAAGATGAATCCCTGCAGTCACGAAAGCTTTAAGTCGAAAGTATACAGGGTGTTTTAAAATATGGACCCAATTTCAAAGCGGTATATTTCACGATGTCAACATGTCACAATTACACAAAAAGTTACACACGGTTTAATGAGTTATCAAGTTTTACTAACCATTTTATAAATGCTCTATGTGCCCTCCACCTGCTGTACGGACAACATCGAAACGATAGTTGAATTCGTCCCAAACGCCTCTCTTCTCACGTTTTCCTCTGAGGTGCGTGTTCGCCCTGTGCTCATCCCCTTACATTATCAGCCCGTTTCCTCAAATTGTCGCTACCAATGACGAATGCTCTGTGACATTGGCGGATCAATGCCAAAACGCCAGTGAAACGCACGCTGCACCGCAATTACGGATTCAGTCTTGCTGAACTGCAGAACGCAAAAATGCCCCTTGTGTTGCCGGGTCACCGTCTTGCGAATGACTGAGGCCAGGGGCTGTTTGTGCGCTGGGAGAGGCATGGAGCGGTAATCATTTGAAACTCTATGCCCCGCCCTCTCTATGCCCCGCCCTCTCTATGCCCCGCCCTCTCTATGCCCCGCCCTTTCAAGTGGCAAGAGTTTCATTCATGGGCGGTTCGTGGTTGCAGAGATATAGCGATTTCAAATCGGGCCCATCATTTTATAACACCCTGTATAACGTGGACGTTTTCTGGCGATGGGCCTTGTTCACAGCACAGATGCCTAAGAGAAGGCGTCTTGAAGACACGGAGAAACAACGAGCCAAGACACGGCGGGTTAGAAGTGGTTACGGTGTCCACCGGTGGCATCTAAATCTAAGGAGTCACCCTCCTCAGTCCACTGCGCGTGTGATCCCATGGGGCGATGGGGGGTGTCGTTCAAACGCCGGTCTTGCCGGTCACATGCGAACTCGCAGGGATCAAACGCAACATCCACGGAAGGTGACGAAGGGTTAATGATAGAGGCCGCCCGAAATTCGGTTTCGGTGTCGAAATTTGGCAAATGGCCTCTTTCGGCATACTTTCGGTTTCGGCCGAAATTCAATTTTGAACTTTCGGTCTGGTTTCGGTTTCGGCTGAAAGTGAAGTTAAATCTTCTTGGTTCTTTCGGTAAAGTCACGTGACTTTACCGAAAGAACCAAGAAGATGAATCACTGCAGTCACGAAAGCTTTAAATCGAAAAGTGAAGTTAAACTTTCGGTTTCGGTTGAAAGTCAATTTTGAACTTTCGGTCCGGTTTCGGTTTCGGTCGGCCTCTAGTTACTGACACCCGATGCAAGAAAGGTCATCGTCCTTGGGGACGGACTGCATGGTGATCATGATGAATACTCTACATTTACCCGATATGTCAGCTATTATATTATACTTTTTTCCCTTTAAGGCAGGGTGGGGAGGTGCCGGGTGAGGAGGGTGGGGCTGGGTGGGGGGTGGGAGGGGTGGGGCTGGGTGGGTAGGGGCTGGGCACCACGGGGTGCCCTTATAAAACTCAACGTTTAACCTACTCACGCCGGCTTGTGCCCACCCTCACAGTCGGGCATATTTGCGGAATACACCACGCCGCCGTTGACCCTGCAGGCCATTGACCGAGCAACCCGACGTTCCTACCAGCTCCCTCCGCAGGAATGTGTTTATTGTTGTTTTTAAGGGGCCGTCCATAAATGACGTCACGCGATTTTTGACGATTTTTGACCCCAACCCCCCATCATTACACGGCGTCACAAAGTCAGACTCCCCCTCAAATATGACGTCACAAAGCTCTGCCCCCCCCCAGTAAATAAAACATGCTTCAAATCGCTTTAAACTCTTGCCATTGTAATGCGTATTTAATGTGGCGCTGCACTCTGATGTTATAGGAGAAAACATTTATAAAAAAAAGTCTATTTAATTAAGTAGAACGTGTTGTCTATATTTATTTAAAGTTGCGCATTTTGATGTGACGTCACATTTCTCAACCTCCCCCCCCTCGTCACACATCGTCACAAATGTCTGACCTCCCCCCCCCCCAGGTGCGTGACGTCATTTATGGACGGCCCCTAAGCTCCCAGTACGAAGCAGTAGATTTCCAATCAAGTACATTTAGGATTCGACGGAACGTACGCGACGTTTGAAAAATGCAAACGAACGTCGACCGTTGGATAACAGTGTAAGACAAACATTGAAATATGGCGAAGCAATAGGAGGTGAAATGCACTCGAAATAGAATAGAATTATTGCCAAAGGAAGTTGCTTCGCGGAGGCAATGGAGGACATTGCACAAACGTTTAAAAACAAGCTGGGTTCAGACGGCACGGTCTATACCCCAAAAAATGTATACCTCGGTTCAAGTAATTTATATTGAAACAAAAAATCGTCCACTTCTGCAGCGAAACGTCGGACAATGTGCCGACCAACGACAACAACAGCACGCGGTACAACTTGAAAACCGAGGGACAAAGCCAGTCGCTAGGCGACAGTGGGTATCTGGGGTAACGCGGCATTGCTCAGCGGGGAATGTTGCCTTGCAATGGGATAGATAGAGGGGGGGATGGCGTGGAAGAGAGGGGCGTTTGTAGTTCTGCATTTTTAATGTAAATTTAGTCCGAACATTGGCCAGTGTGTAGCACCCTGAGCGAAACATGTCCCAAATACATTTTCTTTAGTCATTTGGATCCGATCCTGGTCACCTCTAGGTTGACTCGGCATTAAAATGATTATCAGCCGGTGTGCTGGTTGGGAATTCCAAAGGTGCCCCGATCTCCTCGAATCTCAAAAGCCAAAGCAGATTTGAGCCTGGGCAGTGCTAGAATTGGGACATTTTGTTAAGCTGTGCTTAACAAACTAAACAAAAAATGTTTTACCAGGCCAAGGCCCACTGACCTCTATGGCTCTGTTTCAGAAGCGGACCTGACCATCACAAATGATAGCTCAACCAAGTGGCTTACCACGTGGGAATCCATAGCAGCAGCAAAATGCCCTTTCGCGGGTGCTATAGCCATGAACACATTCCTGCGGAGGGAGCTGGTAGGAACGTTGGGTTGCTCGGTCAATGGCCAGGGTCAACGGCGGCGTGGTGTATTCCGCAAATATGCCCGACTGTGAGGGCGGGCACAAGCCGGCGTGAGTAGGTTAAACGTTGAGTTTTATAAGGGCACCACTGGGTGACCAGCCCCTCCCCACCCAGCCCCACCCCTCCCAACATTTTAAAGTGACTATGCGACTATGTGCAAACTGAAAATGCAAGAAAAGACAGCAAAGTGTTGCAGAAAAAGCACCGTACACCAACGATGTGTGCACAAATCCCAGTGGGATGCAAGTCAAACAACAACAACAACCACAAGACATACTCTTTGGTTTTTTCGGTAAAGTCACGTAGGTAAAAAATAAATTAAATCACGACGTTTCGGAGGCAACACAAGCTTCCGAAACGTCGTGATTAAATTTTTTTTTGTTCACCTCCGTGACTTTACCGAAAAAACAAAGTGTATGGACCCTTGCAGTCACGAAAACTTCAAATCTAGAAGAAGAAAAAAACCACAAGACAACTTAGATTAAATTTCGATTTAAATCTTTCGTGACTGCAGGGATTCATCTTCTTGGTTCTTTCGGTAAAGTCACGTAGAAAGGAAATAATAAAATAAAATAAAACATAATAAAATAAAATTCTCACGACGTTTCGGCCACAACGCAAGCAGCCGTCCTCAGGTGAAGAACAGGGCTATCGGAAAGACGCTGTCTTTCCGTCGTGAGAATTTTATTTTATTATGTTTTATTTGTATTATTTTATTATTTCCCTTCTGTGTGACTTTACCGAAAGAACCAAGACAACTTAGATGAAGACCATCAGTCTAACTCCGTACTACAACGCTTGACCGCAACTTCGCCACTCTGGTCAGCGGGCGGCGGCATCGGGAGGACAATGAGCTCGGACGTGGGAGCATAGAAGTACATGACAACCACTCCGCTTTGCTGCACCGCTGCCACCTGTCACTTCACACACGTGGAGAAGGAAGGGGGCGGGCACAGCGCCGGCTCATTTGCATAAACATAGTAGTCCTCGGCGCTCGCCTGGAGGTCACCCCGCCTGTCGTGACACATTATAGTCGTCCAGCGCATTCGCCTGAAGGACCCCGCACCACGACAGTGCTTGCTGTGCAGCGTGTACGTTGAACTTCTTTCGCGCCGTACGTAGCCAAACGTGCTAAATCGGAGGCGCAGTGGCGATGGTTGGGGGTTAGAGGTGAGGGTTCACGGTGGGGTCCGAGTGTGCTGCTGCTGCTGCTGCTCTCGCTCCACATCTGCGAAGCTCATCCCAATCCACGTGGGTTATGTAGTCGCCCACGGCGTTCGCCTGAAGAACTCCTCCAATGCAATGCTTACAAATCTAAATACGCCTTTAAAAAAAAATCCCAATCAATATAAAGAAAATCGCAATCAATACAGCGGTTGAACTTAAAATTATTTTCAACTACATTTTTTTTGGTAAATATAAATTTTTAAAACCAAAGTGCACCCTTACCGGCTAATTTGCATATTATAATCTGAGTCATCCACCGCGCTCGCGCCTGAAGGACCCCGGGGCGTGCCCGAAATCAACGTTAGTAGTCCGGCGCGTTCGCCTGAAGGACCCACCCAATTCATTTAAAAA